AAGCTGGCCTTTGATGGACCTGTCCTCCATGAACATATTTAATTATTTTTAACACAGTTATACTTTTAGCCTTCAGAAAAATCTCCTAGCAATCAGTTCCACAGGTTGATTGTGCATTGTGTGAAGAAGTACTTTCTTTTGCTTGTTTTAAACCTGCTGCCTATTAATTTAATTGAGTGTTCCCTAATTCTTGTGGTATGTGATGCAGTAAAGAACACTTTCTTAATTCACTTCCTCCAAAACATTCACAATTATATAGACCTCTATCACATTGCCACTTAGTTTCTTTTCCAAACTGAAAAAAGTCTGTCTTTTAAATTTCTCCTCGTATGAAAGCTGTTCCATATGTTTAATCATTTTTGTTGCCTTTCTTGGTAGCTTTTCTATTTCTAATGCATCTTTCTTGAGATGGGCTAACCAGAACTCCAGAGTATTCAAGGTTTAGGTGTACCATGGATTTACATATTGGCATTATGAAGTTTACTGTCTTCTTATCTATCCCTTTTCCAATGGTTCCTAACACTGCTATCTCTTTTCACGGACAGTGCACATTCAGCGGACGTTTTCAAAGGACTATCCATTGGTGACTCTCGGCTCTCATTCTTGAAGAGTGACAGCTAATTTAGACCCCATCGTTTTATATGGATAATTGTGACTATTTTTTCCAATGTACATTACTTTGTGTTTATCAACATTCCACTGCAAAATGCCAGATGAAATTCAGTCATCAAGTTTTGTGAGATCCCTTTGTAACTCTATGCAGTCAGTTTTGAACTTAACTACTTTGAGTAATTTTGTATCATTTGTAAATTCTGCCACCTCATCATGTACCCCCTTTTCCAGATCACACATGATTTTTTCTATAAAGTGTCAATGTTATATTTGTATTACACTAGTACCTATGAACACCCATCGAGTATAAGAGATCCATGGTAGTAGGCAATGTATACACAAATACAAAGATGACAGAAATCTCAATCTACCTGGGCAGATAAGATGCAACAGGTGAATAAGACAAGGGTAGATGGATAAATAGGGTAACAAATCAAATAACATATAGCAAAAAGCAGATGTTAGTCTATCTTTAACTCCTACACAATAAGCATGATTTCACAGAAACATAGAAAATATAGATGCAAAAGATCTGTTGGGCTGCACAATCCATCACGTGGTCAATAAAGGATTGTTTCCTAGAGTATTTTCCTAATGTTATGCTCAGTCTAATTTCAATTGGCCTAATGAGTGAAGCTTCCACCAGTCCTCTAAAAGATTACCATACCACAGCCTAGTAAATCTCATTGCCAAGAAGTTCTTTCTGATATGTAGACCAAACTTTCATCTAGTTTCTCTTGTACTATCCTAAATAATCCCTCAATATTTTACACTCTGGTTTATTCCACTTTTTTCCCTCATCCCCAGTTTCTTACTATAACTTTTGGGTAGAAATCCAATGAGCTCTATCCATATACAGTCAAGTCACCTACAGTGACAAAGCTGAACTTTTCTATTATTAAATCTTACTAAATTTGAAGAGTCCATCCCAGGATCTGCAGAACTCTCTCCAAGGTTTTGGAATAAATGGACGAAGCCATTTGGGAATCGCCCCAGCATACATAGTGGTCTTAAACATGCTAAACATCAACTCCAGAGCCTCAATGTATTCCACAGTCTTCCGTGGGATGTTGTTTTCCAAGCAGCCCAACCGGGATTCATACAGAATAGTTGCCACACCTGCACAGGAATAAAACCACAGAAATTACAGTCCTTTTTTAAAAGTTATTTATAGTGAAGGAACAGAACCAAGTCTCCAAAACATGGTAAATTATGTCTGACAGCACTTACTGGAGATGGTCTGGGGACAGTAGAGTTCCTTATAAAATACAGGGTAGACCAGTGTTTCTTAAACTTTTTAAGACTGAGGAACACCAAACAATTTTTTTTATGAGGAACACCAAGCATTTTTTGTTGAAGAAAAAAAAGGGGGGGGGGTCGGAAGTTATTGAGAAAAGAAAGCTGCAGAACACAGCTTAAGAAACACTGGGGTACACTAAATCAGTTCCTTATATTTCCTTTCTGTGATAAAAGAAATAAAGTTTAACATATCTTTAATCTCCTTGTTAGTAGCTGGATCTCTTATCTGATTCATATTTATATTTTCCTTACTTTTGTTAAACAAAAATGTAAATACTAAACACACTCACACACTACTTTTCTCTGCACTTGTAACTAGAGCTTTCAAGAAACATTCAAAATTACTATAATAAGATTCATACTTCTTACTGAATAGATTGATCCACAATGTACGTTTCATTAAAAAAATGTTTCTGATCCTTATCATTGTGAAGAAAATTTGGAAGATCTGAACCAAATATAACCAAGGAAGTGCTGTTCTACTAAGTTTCCAGACAGCCTGAAACAACAGCTATGAAAACATGTATCATGCTCACCAAGACCCCTTTCTGGGGATAGGCAACCTCAGTTTCCCCCTCCCTAGCTGCCAGGGAGAACCAGGCTGAAGTGTGGCAGCCCTGGCCTGCCCCAGCTGTCTCCCCCAGGCTGCCAGGCCCTCCCAAGGCCAGGCTAGCCTTGGCTCCCCACCAGCGGGTTGGGTAGGGCTGAGGCTGGCCCAACTCTCTCCCTCCAGCTGCTGGGAGGTTGGGCTGGGCCAAGGCACCCCCACCCCGGGCTGGGCCAAGGCAGCTCCAGCCCCAGCTCTTCCCTTCCTGTCTCTGTCCCCAAGGCTGCCCCGGCTCTTTCCCCCTGCCCCTAGTCTTGGCCTCCCCAGCCCTGGTTCTTCCCCTTTGCCCCCAGCCCTGAGACCACCACGGCTCATGTCCGTTCCCCTCTCTCCCCCCCCCCCCCGGGCCCTCCCCACCC